CACCAAATACACAAAATAATGTTCTTTTTAGCAACATCATATTACCCCTTTAAAGGGTTAGTTAACCCAAAAATTAAAATTATGTCATTAATTACTCACACTCATGTCGTTTAAACCGTAATATTATGAAGCTATGAGAATAATTTAGTTGTTTTACGTCCAGGGGATATTCTCCAAAATGGCACCAGGGTGATGTGGAGGAGACGAATTGTTAAATAAAGTCGTTTTTTTTTCTTTTGCGCACAAAAAGTATTCTCGTAGCTTCATAAAATTACGGTTGAACCCCAGATGTCACATGGATTATTTTACAGATCTCCTTGCTACGTTTATGGACTTGGGAACATTTCAGTTGCGTTGCTGTCTATGCAGGGTTGGACAGCTCTCAGATTCCATCAAAAATATCTTAATTTGTGTTCCGAAGATGAACAAAGGTCTTACGGGTTTGAAACGACATGATGGTGAGTAATTAATGACAGAATTTTCATTTTTGGGTGAACTAACCCTTTAAGCAGCTCTTAATGTCGATCATGGATCAAATCAATTCACCATTGCAAACAGCGACTATATCTGTGCTGTTTAATGCATTTGAGACGTTGTGTTTTCCTCAGTGCATAACTGACATGTCACGTATATTTTTCATCTGTAACTGTTAGAAAGTCAAGCAAACATATCCATTTCGCTGTCAGGAGTGGGCGAGGCATGCCATTAATTATGAATTTATCAGTGTTTTGCATGCCAAAGTCAATTTCTGCATATAAATATTATGCCAAATAGAAGCAGAAAATCGTGCTATACACATTCATGAGATCATGTTCGCCTACAACAATTAATTTGTAGGTTATTTTACAAATGGAAATGCAACAAATTCATGACAATGTTTTACATTCAAGCTACCCGTAAAATTTATAGTGAAAAGTACTTTAAAAGCATCTGGAATGCAATAAGGTACATTTTTAAAGATGTTTTTAAAATATTTTCTTCATGGATAAAAAAAAAAAAAAAAGGCTAATAAATAATTCACATATCAGACAATGTAGAAACATTGGACACATCTATGGGGAACCATTGTGCAGCAGCAAGCATCACAACAAAAAAGGAACCTCAAGGTTTATCTAGGAAAATGTGTGAAAATGTATAGGGCCCCATTCCTATATTTTGCCTGGGGCCCCCAATTCACTAAATCCGCCCCTGCTTCTGCAGGTTGGTTTTCAAACATTCACATTTAAAAAATGTTGCTTCTATTTCTGGCAGTTTTTTTTCAATCTGGCCAAAACTATCAAGCTTTCCCCTTCCCTTTGGATTTAATGATGCAAATCTATTTTACTGATCATTTGTCCTGGCCATGGCCATGGAAGCCAGCAAACGAACTGTATATATTCAGGGGTGGATTTAGTGAATTGGGGGCCCCAGGCAAAATATAGGTCACTATATTGAATTTATATTTTTAAAAACAAAATACTTGTATGGAGATTTTTCCATCTACAGATGTTTCCCTGACCTTCTTTTCTCTGTAAATTAAGGGTGCACACTATTGCTGAAAAACACAATCACTACTCAGCAGTCAGATGTCTGCATGCACAAAGGCACAGATCCCTAAACAAGACCATATCTGCAGATGAAATTTTTTTTTGAAGAATTTTTTTTTAATTAGAACTAGCACCTCATGACTACACCACGTTATGTACGAGAAGCTGCAAAAGACACAGGCGCAAGTAGAATGTACAAAACATAGTGACATTAATTTTTAAAGTAAATATAATGGGCGATATATTGCGTCACCAAAAATGATTGAGGTCATGTACATATATTGCACGATAAGTCAATATATTGATTATTGCGACAGGCCTAAGTGTTAGAGGCATTTTTTTAAAGAAAGACATGTCATATAAGACATATAACTGACATGTCACGTATATTTTTCATCTGTAACTGTTAGAAAGTCAAGCAAACATATCCATTTCGCTGTCAGGAGTGGGCGAGGCTTAAGGCGGGTGTACAAAACAAGTAAAAAAAAAATAGGCTAATAAATAATTCACATATCAGACAATGTAGAAACATTGGACACATCTATGTGGAACCATTGTGCAGCAGCAAGCATCACAACAAAAAAGGAACCTCAAGGTTTATCTAGGAAAATGTGTGAAAATGTATAGGGCCCCATTCCTATATTTTGCCTGGGGCCCCCAATTCACTAAATCCGCCCCTGCTTCTGCAGGTTGGTTTTCAAACATTCACATTTAAAAAATGTTGCTTCTATTTCTGGCAGTTTTTTTTTCAATCTGGCCAAAACTATCAAGCTTTCCCCTTCCCTTTGGATTTAATGATGCAAATCTATTTTACTGATCATTTGTCCTGGCCATGGCCATGGAAGCCAGCAAACGAACTGTATATATTCAGGATTTAATTACAGCTTCAGATGCATAATATTTTCATCTCCTTCAAGCAGGGTACACAAAAAGCACGTTCAGTCTCGGACGGTTGTCGTGGTAATAAACACCGTAAACAGCAAACGTTCGCGTGTCAGCGCTTAATGCGCATATCCTATATGAAAAGCATTTTAGAGGGCCCTTGGCTTTTGGGGGCCCAAGGCGGTCGCCTACCTTTGGTACCTGCAGTACCAATTTCAACCACTAGCTATCAAGATTACACACTGCACCTTTAATTAACTACACCAGGGGTCTCCAGACTCGATCCTGGAGGGCCGGTGTCCTGCAGAGTTTAGTTCCAACCATAATTAAACACACCTGAACCAGCTAATCAAGGTCTTAGGTATTCTAGAAACTTCCAGGCAGGTGTGTTGAGGCAAGATGGAGCTAAACTCTGCAGGACACCGTCCCTCCAGACCAGGACCGAGTTTGGTGACCCCTGAACTACACAATCAGGGTAGAATTATTAATGAATTACTGATATCTCTGGAATAAAATATTTGCAAAAAAAACATTTTTATATATGTCTGGAGCTTTCAATAGATGGATTGATGACCCCCCCCCCCCCCATCCAGTTTTTATACACTGGAAAATGTTGGAAAATGTAAATAACACAGTCCAGTGAAGTTTACGACAAAATCAATGAAAACGTCGGTCATATTCATTCAAGCCCATACCCTGATGGGCCTCCGTGAGCGGCGCGCTCTCTACCCTACACGGGCCTCGTCATTGTACGTCCACGCAGTACGCAACCCAGCGATTCTTCAATCACACACAAACCTGCGCAGCCAATCAGATCTCCAAGCCATGCGTCACCAAGCAACCGCCTCAAACTATGCCATAGAGATCAGTGCAGTCGCGCACCTTCTGCGTGACGTGAGCGGTCCTCCTGTTTGTTTGTGTAGCTCGAGGATGAAAATGGCGGTGGGGAGAGATCAACGCGAGAATCAAACACACAAATGACCATTTGACTTGGATGACAGCAGCACTGCAGTAAAGAAGTAGCTTATCGTCAACAAAGTGCATTTACAACAACAAACACCCGGAGTTTAACGGGGGAAAACATTTAAAATAGCTCCTAAAATTAGCCCGCTTACCTCGTTAGCTTAGCTAGCCTTCAACTGGAAGGTTTAACGGACACCACATTAACGGAATTATTCAGTCAGAATAAGACGAACTGCGCATTTCTCGACTTACCTCTCAAATGCAAGCTCAGTCGTAGGAGCTGGGCTTGTAGAAATATTTGCATCTGATTGAATGCATAACTAATAGCTCCATCTGGCAATATTAGCCAGTAAACACTATCCTCCAAGCCTTCTCAAAGTTCAACGAGCATCTGTAAGAGGAGAACGGACCAAACAGGTAACCGGAACGCGTTCATGTTTGTATTTGTTGATGTTTAGTGAAGAGATCATGTAACGGGGCTGGTCCAACTAGAGGTTACTTGATCTGAACAACCAGATGCATAAACATTGCTTAGAGAGATGGGTTAGTTTACCAGACAGGTGGAAAAGATCTGGCGTTTACACAAACTGCTTTTCGAACGATTAGACATTCTCTTTTTCGTACGGTGAATTATAGATCTGCATATGAGATCAAAATATTTGGATTGGATGTTTTCAATGTGATTGTGTTGCTCGTTTTAGTTTTTGCATTTGGTTGAAGTGTAAGCTAATGTCATGTCAAGAGATTCATAATGGTGATTGATTGCTGACATCTCAAGTTTGTCAAATTGTATCTGCAGGTTTGACACTGAAGTGCTTTGATTTAGTTGAGAATGCAGTTATTTAGATCTTTCAGTTATTTGAGTTTAATAAAGGTAAAAAATTGTCGAACAATATTCAGCTTATATAATTAATAATAATAATTTTCCATAATATTAATAACAATAAGGATTATAATTATAATAATATTAGTATTATAGTAATTCTAATAATATAGTATAATAATTATTATTGTTTTGTTATTTTACCAACCAGTTCACAATTATTGTTGTTGTTATTTCTGATCAGGTGAATAAAATATTATTTCATCCTGCCATATGTCATTCTACACCGACAAAAATAGGTGTAGGATTTACTTTGAATTATAGATTATCAGCAAAAACATTGAATTGAACATGGAATTTTGAAGCAGAAAGACTTAAATAGTAAAATGTACTCCAGTCATACCAATTTTTGTTGTTATTATTGTCTGATCATAGTGATTAGTAGCATAAAATATTATTTTAGGCCCCCCCCCCCCCATCCAGTTTTTATACACTGGAAAATGTTGGAAAATGTAAATAACACAGTCCAGTGAAGTTTACGACAAAATCAATGAAAACGTCGGTCATATTCATTCAAGCCCATACCCTGATGGGCCTCCGTGAGCGGCGCGCTCTCTACCCTACACGGGCCTCGTCATTGTACGTCCACGCAGTACGCAACCCAGCGATTCTTCAATCACACACAAACCTGCGCAGCCAATCAGATCTCCAAGCCATGCGTCACCAAGCAACCGCCTCAAACTATGCCATAGAGATCAGTGCAGTCGCGCACCTTCTGCGTGACGTGAGCGGTCCTCCTGTTTGTTTGTGTAGCTCGAGGATGAAAATGGCGGTGGGGAGAGATCAACGCGAGAATCAAACACACAAATGACCATTTGACTTGGATGACAGCAGCACTGCAGTAAAGAAGTAGCTTATCGTCAACAAAGTGCATTTACAACAACAAACACCCGGAGTTTAACGGGGGAAAACATTTAAAATAGCTCCTAAAATTAGCCCGCTTACCTCGTTAGCTTAGCTAGCCTTCAACTGGAAGGTTTAACGGACACCACATTAACGGAATTATTCAGTCAGAATAAGACGAACTGCGCATTTCTCGACTTACCTCTCAAATGCAAGCTCAGTCGTAGGAGCTGGGCTTGTAGAAATATTTGCATCTGATTGAATGCATAACTAATCGCTCCATCTGGCAATATTAGCCAGTAAACACTATCCTCCAAGCCTTCTCAAAGTTCAACGAGCATCTGTAAGAGGAGAACGGACCAAACAGGTAACCGGAACGCGTTCATGTTTTGTATTTGTTGATGTTTAGTGAAGAGATCATGTAACGGGGCTGGTCCAACTAGAGGTTACTTGATCTGAACAACCAGATGCATAAACATTGCTTAGAGAGATGGGTTAGTTTACCAGACAGGTGGAAAAGATCTGGCGTTTACACAAACTGCTTTTCGAACGATTAGACATTCTCTTTTTCGTACGGTGAATTATAGATCTGCATATGAGATCAAAATATTTGGATTGGATGTTTTCAATGTGATTGTGTTGCTCGTTTTAGTTTTTGCATTTGGTTGAAGTGTAAGCTAATGTCATGTCAAGAGATTCATAATGGTGATTGATTGCTGACATCTCAAGTTTGTCAAATTGTATCTGCAGGTTTGACACTGAAGTGCTTTGATTTAGTTGAGAATGCAGTTATTTAGATCTTTCAGTTATTTGAGTTTAATAAAGGTAAAAAATTGTCGAACAATATTCAGCTTATATAATTAATAATAATAATTTTCCATAATATTAATAACAATAAGGATTATAATTATAATAATATTAGTATTATAGTAATTCTAATAATATAGTATAATAATTATTATTGTTTTGTTATTTTACCAACCAGTTCACAATTATTGTTGTTGTTATTTCTGATCAGGTGAATAAAATATTATTTCATCCTGCCATATGTCATTCTACACCGACAAAAATAGGTGTAGGATTTACTTTGAATTATAGATTATCAGCAAAAACATTGAATTGAACATGGAATTTTGAAGCAGAAAGACTTAAATAGTAAAATGTACTCCAGTCATACCAATTTTTGTTGTTATTATTGTCTGATCATAGTGATTAGTAGCATAAAATATTATTTTATCCTTGCTATATCATTCAGTTTTTTTTTTGAAGTGCAGTTAGATATCTTTCAAAATTAGATGAGTTTAATGAGAGTAATTTAGATTTAATTGAGTAATTGAGAGTAAAGATTTTCTAACAATATTCAATTTCATTATAATAGTAATAATTATTGTTGTTATAATTATATATTTAATAATGTTATGAGGTTGATTATTCTTAGAAATTGTGATTATTGTCATCATCATTATTATTGCTGCAATAAAATGATAATTATAATAATAATTGTTATTAATTTACCGTCCTTGATTGATCAGGTGCATCAAATATGGTTTTATCCTGCCACATATTATTTTACTTGTTCTAGAGCTTTCTTTGTTTGCCACTGGAAAATGTTTTAATACTTTAAAGTCCCCAAATATCCAAAGCTCGTGGTCAGAATTCACAGCTCACTTGTCACTTCTCTACATTCCAGCACATATTCATATAAGCATGTCCCTTACATGAACCTGCCAGGAGAAAGATTTTCAAATTGCATTGTGTTTACACTTTAGTTTCGCTAAACAAGAGTGTGTACCTGCCTTATAACTTTAACTTTATTACAGTTTCCGGTGAAGGAGTTCATGGATACGTATGTTATGAATGGAAATAAGCAGATAGCTTTTGATTGTAAAGAGCCATGTAAATAGTCTGGTCATAGTCATAACCAGTTGGCTTTCAGTTTTTCTTTGTTTCATTGGTGAAGTCCAGCTAATTATGTAATAAATAGATTTTTTTTTCTAAATCTCAAGGCAAGTAATTGAAGTATTTTCATACAATGTAACTGTTGATAATGTAGTCGCTGTATTGTCTTACGAAGATCCCTAATGTTTTTGTTTACATATCCTCACAACTCAGTGAGTAAATGATCAGCAGTCAACTCCAGATTCCAGCGTGACCAAAAGGCGACGATATCATGCGACGCGCTCTTGCAGTTTCTTTCCCTGCGAGCGTCTCTCTCTGCCGCAGCATGGAGAGGGGCGCTCAGCTGTGCCTCCCTAGACGTCAGAGAGCTGACCTACATCTCTCTCGAAAAAAAAGCTTGTGCAGCAGCCTGTGAGAATGTGTGGGGGCAGGGAGAGCGCGCCAGAGCGAACTAGCAAATGAATGAGTGAGAGGGACAGGAAAGCAAGCCTGCTCAAGCCAGCGAACTGTTCATCTAATTTTAACAAAACTGTGATAATATTGATAATCGTGATAACTTTGGTCACTATAACCGTGATATGAAATTTTCATACCGTTACATCCCTACTTAGGCCCAACCCAATTCTAGCCCTTAGCTAGGGGTGCTCCGATCAGGATTTTTGAGGCCGATCACAGAAAGCTGTGATCTTTAAAATCTTTTTAAAGCCTTCATTTTTATCATGTAGAATTATTTATAGTGATACTCCAATCATGATTTTTTATCATTTTTGAAAATGGGGGGGAATTCCCCTCTTAAGTGACTCTTGTTGGGGGGATTTTTTTAATTTGAGGGGTGGAGGGGGGCATTTTTTAGACTTTTTAAGTATATATATTTATCTGAGCTAAATGTTTGATCATGCAGTGCATTTTTTTTACACAGTACAGTAATACAATCTATTGTGTTTAAATGCAATATATAAGCAACAATATATAATTACTTTTGCATTTACTTCTAGAGTTATCAGTGTGTGTTGTGATTGGCAGCACTCGGAGCCTGCTCGGGAAATGTCATGCCCCTTACCATAGCTGCCTGTGAGCTTCAGTGTAAATATTGCCTCAAAATCAAATCAATTTGAGAACAATTTAAACCCAGATTAATGTAACCACTCTAAGTTCGTCTGCCTTGGGAAAGCTAGCGTGTCTCCGACATAGTGATAACACTCGTTGCCTTCTCTAGTGCAGCTCAACCAGGTCTCGTCCCATTCGTCGATCTTTGTGATATCACACAAACGTTCTCTAGTGCAGCTCAACCAGGTCTCGTCCCATTCGTCGATCTTTGTGATATCACAAATCCCGGAAAATATGCGTTGTAGTCCAAACGAGTCGTTCGTTGTAGTTTTTGAAAAGTGATTTCTGTTGAATAAAATATCTCCTTTTGAAGTGGTCTTTGAGCTTTGTAACTTTGCAGATCTTTTTTATGCTCAAACAGTAACATTACAGACTAACTAAAGTTGAAAAAGTGAGAAAGCATAATAGCACCCCTTTAAGCTGCTCATGCAAGTGGCAAAACATTTACATTTAGTCATTTAGCAGAAGATTTTATCTAAAGCAACTTACAAATGAGGACAATGGAAGCAATCAAAATCAACAAAAGAGCAATAATAAGCAAGTGCTATAACAAGTCTCAGTTAGCCTAATGCAGTACACGTAGCAAGGTTTTTTAATTATATGTGACCCTGGACCACAAAACCAGTCTTAAGTCGCTTGGGTATATTTGTAGCAATAGCCAAAAAAACACTTTATGGGTCAAAATAATCGATTTTTCTTTTATGCCAAAAATCATTAGGATAGTAAGTAAAGATCATGTTCCATGAAGATATTTTGTAAATTTCCTACCGTAAATATATCAAAACTTAATTTTTTATTAGTAATGTGCATTGCTAAGAACTTCATTTGGACAAATTTAAAGGCGATTTTCTCAGAATGTTGAATTTTTTGCACCCTCAGATTCCAGATTTTCAAATAGTTGTATCTCGGCCAAATATTGCGCTATCCTAACAAACCATACATCAATTGAAAGTTTATTTATTCAGCTTTCAGATGATGTATAGATCTCAATTAAAAAAAAATTGACCCTTATGACTAGTTTTGTGGTCCAGGGTCACATATAATAGATAAAAAGAAAACCGATAGATAGAATAGAGAAAGCTAGTGTTAGAGGTCTTTTTTGTTTTATTTTTTAAATAAAAAAGAAAAGAAATAGAATTATAATAGAGAGTGCTAGGGTTAGAGGGTCAAATAAAGATGGAAGAGATGTGTTTTTAGCCGATTCTTGAAGATGGCTAAGGACTCAGCTGCTCGGATTGAGTTGATTTAAACTACTTTTCTAACGTTATTACAAAGTTTCTAAATTAAAACTTACCATTGACAGAAACGGTCAGCTCTACTGCCTTTTCTTTTGCATTTGAATATTTATTCCAAGCAATCCTGCAGTTAATAAAGAACTTTGTTTTCCTACCTTCACGAGTGCATCTATTATTGCTTATCTAGAAGTGCTCTTTTCCTTTAAACCAGTGTTTCTCAACCCTGGTCATGGGTGCCCCCCAACCCTGCACATTTTGTGTGTCTCCCTAATCAAACACACCTGATTCAACTCATTAACTCATTAGGACAAACTCCAGGACCTGAAGTGGGTGTGTCAGATAAAGGGAGACATACAAAATGAGCAGCGTTGGGGGGTGCCCAGGACCAGGGTTGAGAAACACTGCTTTAAACCTAGCCAAAAAGTCATGTGTTTTGACTGTGAAACAGTAGACTTTCATTATGTGCATTTATGGTGTAATTGCTACATTTTCGTGTCAATCCAAATTTATATTTACCGCAAACAATGCGCTGTCACTTTAATTCAGCGCGTGCAGTGCAGCAATAGACCAGAGTTGCCAAGTCCGCGTATTATACGCGACTTTGGACTTCTTTTTTTTGGAAAGTTGCGTGAAAAAATCCCGGGTTGCGTTTTTTTGGGCTTATTTTAAAAAATATGGTTCGTTTACGAAACTTAAACTTTGTTTCTTTTCATTTATGTTCACTGTATTCTCCAATGCATTGATTGACACTCTGTCTGCTCACAGTTAATAGCCACTCAGTGCAAAAATATAAGTGCTGTAGCGTAATTTGTCCAATATTCCGCCCCCTCCGCACGCGCCTTCTTTTTTTCTTCAATGAGGGATTGAAGCGCGTGACGCTGTAATTCAAGCGATGATAGTAGTAGACGTAGAGGAGTGGGATGACTTTTTTCCTTTACAAGGTAGCCTAATTTTTAATTTTTACAATGTTTTTGTAATGTATTAATTATCATGGACTGTAAAAAAACAACAACTAAAAAAAGTAGGCTTATACTAATACTAAGAGTAGATTTGGTTCGAATAGCCAATATTTTAGTAGGCTATAAATATGTGGCTATGTTACAGCTCCCCTTTGAAGCTCTTGTGT